GTGCGCGGCAGCTGGCGGCTCGCCTTGGGACGCGCCCGACGACTCTGGCATGGTGAGTGACCCCAACCTTGCTCCGCCACCGGGGCAAGTCAGCGGGGAGTGGAAGGAGCCCAAGGCAGGACCCTTTTGGCGCCCGTGGGTGGACGAGTTGAGGGCCGCAGCCCCGTCCGCCGTGGAGGGCGACAACCGGTCGCTGACCTCCGCTTAGGGCCTCGGGCTGGGACCCGGAGGTGAGGGAGGGCCCGGGTCCCCCACTTCCCTTCCCCGCCACAACCCTCTCCTACTCCGCCAAGTCAAGGAGCAGGAAAGGCCGACGAAGGGGTCGCCGAGCCCCCCCAGTCCCTTGGGGGGCTGAGGGGTGATTGCCCCCACAGCTAGACACTATTACCAAGACCCCGGGTGAGGCGACCAAAGAGTCCAATTCAGACGGTGGGTACGCTGGGCCCCGCCCCCTCCCCAGACTAGGGCCGGGATCGGCTGGGGGAGAAGGGGCGAGGTGCTCGCACCCAGAAAACCCCGTCACAGCTACGTCTACACGGCACTTTTTTTCGGCAGAAAATATGCTAATGATGTTGCAACTTATGCTAATGAGTCCCTCTATCATATTTTCTGCCAAATAAATGCGTTGTGTAGATGTAGCCCTTCTGTCTATCCTATCCCTGCTCACCTTTTACCCCCTATTAAAGAGAGCTCTTTGTGGAACAATGTCCCTTTTCTTCCAGATACCTGGACAAATGAGTTTCCCTTTCTTTTACTTCTGACTGTTTGGGGAATTAATTTTTAAGAGTGCCCTCCACCAAAATCAGTACCTAAGTAAAATATAAAATCCTTTGTTATGCCTACAATCTTTGGAAACATATTTTTAACATAAACATATGGTGACATTTCATAAACATGTCTATTGTTATGGAAATCACACAAAATAAATTAGTGTTCCCTTTTTCTGAAAGCAATGAACTTTGTTATAAACACAGTAAACTGCTCTGACTGATTCATTTAAAATTATGTCTTTGTTTCAGTGTGTTAAATATGTAGTAATCTGGAATGATAACACTTGAAAATGTAAAATTAGCTTAGAAATGCTGATTAAAAATGTAAAACAGGGAAGAGCTGTATCATGTATTCCATAATATTGAATGTTACGTGGGGGGCTGGAAAGTGCAGCACCAGCCCCCTGAGATAAGTCACCAACCCTCCCAGCATTCATGGAGCAGCACCACCCTCGCCACAATGGGCAGCTCTGTTAACCCCCCATCCCTCTACCCCCAGCCCCCGCCCCGGCCTTGACTTCTGCACCCCCATCCTTGCCCTTCAACTCCCCCATACCTTCCACCCCCTGCCCTGAGTCCCCCCTCACACCTCCCAGCTCCCAACCCAGCCTGGCACATCCACCACCTCCTACCCTGAACTCCACAAGGACCCGGGCAACTCTGGGTGGATCCTCTAGTAACTAATAAAAGGAAAAAAAATGAAAATACATATTTGCAATTAAGTGGATACTGCTTTTTAGAGCTGCCCCCCCATACCTTCCACCCCCTGCCCTGAGTCCCCCCTCACACCTCCCAGCTCCCAACCCAGCCTGGCACATCCACCACCTCCTACCCTGAACTCCACAAGGACCCGGGCAACTCTGGGTGGATCCTCTAGTAACTAATAAAAGGAAAAAAAATGAAAATACATATTTGCAATTAAGTGGATACTGCTTTTTAGAGCTGCCCATATTGTCCTCATCTTGTTTCTTCCACAGTGTGATGCTTCTTGTGGACTGTATTTGTCATGTAAATCCATTTTTCAAAGGATCTATTTGTTTTTTAGCAACTCGTCATAGAATGTAGCAGTCTAGGTCAAACTTCACACACATAAATCAAATAGCCTTCCTCTGAGAAACTTCAAGACTTCATTTTTCAGTTGACCAAACTGTAGTCGGACTGAAACGACATGTTCAACAGGAGCTGCGGTGCCTGGCAAGCACAAAATAAGCTCCACATGCTTTCCAAAGCCAAGTATTCTACTGCTTCATTGTCCATCAAAAACGTTCCACCCTCTGTCCGAAATGGGGGTTTTCTGAGTGTCCCCATCAGACATGTGACAGGATAGGACTGGGTCTGCATGTGTCCATTTGTCAAAAGTTTGGTTCTCGTCTATTGTCATGTCCTCTAGGGTGGGAATTCTTGTGTGGCAAAGGCAAAGCTGCTTTGTACATTATCTCACATCAGCATCCTTCTCCACAAGAACCACTTAAGTTGTCTGTGTTCTCAAAAGCAGGTTTCCCGTGTTCCAAGTACTTCAGAGGTATTGAATAATAATTCTTGACTGCATTGCAAAATTCCTGTTCCTTAATTCCCCCCTCAGTGCCTGATTTCAGCCCTGCCGGCGTGGCCAGAGCTAGTGGCTTCAGTCCTTTGGGGAGAGAAGTGTGAGGGACTGGGGCTTCAGATGGGGGGGAAGGGCACAGTGAGGATCGGACCGCTTCCTGGGGGGAGGGGTGTTCTAAGGAGCAGGGCTTCAGCCTAGGTGGTACTGGGAATTCAAGGGTGCACCATGGATTAGGGCTTCAGCTTGGGGGTGCTAGGAATTCAGTGTGGGAGAGGCCACTGGGCATGAAGATTTCAAGCCCCACAGCAGAAGTTGGGTTTCAGTCCTGCCGTCTGAAAGAGCTGACAGACCCCTCCCCCCAGCCCCTTGGGAATCTCTGCTTTAGGGTGCACATGGGTTGAGGTGACGCACATCCCTCGCTCATCCCCTGACCCTTCTATTGCACACAGGCGGCCTCGCCTAAGTGTGGGAGAGGCCACTGGGCATGAAGATTTCAAGCCCCACAGCAGAAGTTGGGTTTCAGTCCTGCCGTCTGAAAGAGCTGACAGACCCCTCCCCCCAGCCCCTTGGGAATCTCTGCTTTAGGGTGCACATGGGTTGAGGTGACGCACATCCCTCGCTCATCCCCTGACCCTTCTATTGCACACAGGCGGCCTCGCCTATTACTGACCAGCGGGGGGGGGGCTGGAGCTGACAATGCAGGACAAAAGCTTTGGAGGGGTAGCCGAGTTAGTCTGTAACAGGAAAAACTAAAACAACGAATATTCTGGTAGCACCTTACAGACTAACAAAACATGAAGATGGTAGCATGAGCTTTCGTGGGCACCGCCCACCTCTACAGATGACTGAAGTATTACAAGTCCAGATTCAAGAATAAATAAGGGAAGGGGAGCCGGGTGGAGGAGGAGGGAAAAAAAGGAGACCGTGAGTAGGTTATTCAAGTAGTTACAAGAGGCTGTTAAGAACAATTAGCACCTCCGTTGGTTGGTTGGTTAAGTCATTAGGATGTGGAAGGTAGTGTGAGAGCTAGCCGATGTCCCTGTTCTTTCCATTCACATAAGAATTAAACTTGTACTCCAGGACAATTGGCCCATTCTTTAAAAAAAGAGTCAGGACATCTTCATTAGGGCTTAACTAGGGGAGGGGAGTGTCCTGTTAAAAACGGGACAGATGGTCATCCTAACAATCTGGCATACAGCAGGAAACATGCTCCATTTTCTTTAGAAAGAAATGTTAGAGTATTTTTTTTCCAAATATTGTTTGCTATATTTGAGTTTGAGGATATGGTTGGAAAGGGTGTGCAGGGCGGGGAAGAGAAGAGGGAGACACGAGGGGGAGGGTCTAGGCAAATTAGGGGTGGAGCCTGGGGCAGAGTATGGGCGGGGCAACAGGCGGGAGCCATTAGGGTAGGGTGGAGGGAATGATGAGCTTTGAAAAAGATCCTGATGAAGGGATGTGGTTAATCTCTGTTCTTCCCTTCCTGAATTGGACTGATGTAATCCTGCGTATGTGAATGGGAAGCTCTGCATGAAGCTATTAGCAGTCGTCAAATCCTAGTCCTACCATTATTTGATCGTTCCTATTTAATGTAAATTCAGGATTAGTCTAAGAACAGGGTTTTACAAGGGAAACGTCTTTTCCTTTAGTTCAGTGTAAGAGGATTCTCACGTCGCACTGTGGCTTTCGCCTGTGATGGTTTAGAAAGGGGAGGACGCAGGAGGATGCTGGCACAGCAGAGGAAAAAGGACAGTGCCAGAGATCCAGGGCTGCAGGCAGCCATTACGCTCCATAATTCTACAAAACTGCCCTGGTGGATTAACACCGAGTAGAGCCTGGATCAGTAACAATACTGGGCACTAGGGGACTCCCGAGAGCATCAGTCGACGCTAACTCTTTGCTTTCAAAGCCCCCACAAATGGGTTCATTCTCCCTCTCTCGCTCACGCTAGCTTGGGACGTCCCTCTTTCTTCTGTCACTGCACATCAAGCCCCATAACAGCCTCCCCCAAGAGGAGTTTACTCACTGCATTACTGGACTCCTTAGATTCCTGTCCGGGGTGCCCAATGCCTCTCCCTTGATTTACCCGTGAAAAATCACCTTTTATTGTCTTGCATGCACCTTCTTTCACAATTTACTTCCTGGGGACTCTATTAGCATATGAATTGGGACAGATTAACGTTGATACTGCATCTTTCTGCACAACAGGTGCAAAATGAGAGAGAATTATCTTGCTGGTCACGGTGCACTTTCTCCACCCTGCTGAGGAGGAGCCGAGGAATGGGAGTGAAAGAGGCTCTGTCTGCCTGGTAGGCATGATATCAGAGTGCCAGATGAGCAGGGCGTCCAACTCTGGAAAACACGCATGATCTTGTGTTTGGGTTGCCTCCCTTTTCCACAGCTACTATTTGATCCTAAATCAAGGTAAGTGGATTCTTTCTGGCCTAGAAAAAGTTCCATACTGAGCATGAGGGGAGGACGTTGCCAAAGACACACATGGCAAGTAGGCTCCTAACTCCTGGTGGCCTTTTGCATAAGATGTTTGCAAAGGACAGTCTGGCCTCTTTGTACTTTTCCCTGGGATAACACTGATGCACTGGCTTCCCTCAGTGATTTCACCTACATCACAGCCTGTTGGTGTCACTTGCGTGACCTGCAGCACAATCTTGGAGGAGTTTGCACCTTGTGCAATTGGGGTACGTCTAGACTACAGGGTTTTGTCGACAGAAGTTTTGTCGACAGATACTGTTGACAAAGCTTCTGTCGACAAAGAGCATCTAGACTGCATCCAGTTCTGTCGACAAAGCAAGCCGCTTTGTCAACATACCCGTGTGGACGCAAAGGACAGTGTAGATGCAATAATGCCTTCTATTGACAGAACTCTGTCAACAAAAGGCATTATTCCTCGTAGAATGAGGTTTACATACATCAACAAAACTGCTGGGTTTTGTCAACATTATGTTGACATAACTCAAAGGCAGTGTGGACGCAGGTATAGTTTTGTCGACAAAAGTCTACTTTTGTCGACAAAACCCTGTAGTCTAGACACACCCTTGGTGTTATGGTTTTGGGTGTTCTTTGGAGCCAATACGGAAGCCAGCTGAAACTGGGGAGTAACTTTAGCATTATAGCATGCAAAGAAACCAGAATACGCCTCTAATAAAATGTCAATGCTGGATTCTCCTGCCACAGGATGCCATTTTCTCCCCTTACCTCCTTGGACATGACAATGCCTCTGGACTGGCTACAGTTTTAGGACTGCTTTAAATTTCACTGCAAGGTCATTTTGGCTCCTGGACAGCCAGGATCCATAGGCTATGGCTACACTGCTGTGCTATTCTGAGATACCGGAGAAATAGCTATTCCGCATCTTTTGAGCACGCCCATTATTTCAAAGGAAGGAGTACGGGACGTGTCGGAACAGCGCTGTATTTCGAAGTACATGCTGGGTAGACAGTGTTCCCTGTAAGCTATGCCCTGGGGTGCCCACCGAGGAGAGCTTCCGGTACCACCCTGCTGAGTAGCAGAGCACCCATAGCTGGCAGCACGTGCTCACTACTGATGGTTCACTTCCACACATGCCTCGGTGCACATAGAATCCCAGGGCTGGAAGAGATCTCAGAAGTCGTTGAGTCCAGCCCCCTGCCCAAAGCAGGACCAACCCAACGCAATCATCCCAGCCAGGGCTTTGTCAAGCTGAGACTTAAAAACCTCTAGGGATGGAGATTCCACCACCTCCCTAGGGAACCCATCCCAGAGCTTCACCATCCTTCTAGTGCAGTGGTCCCTAACCTTTTGGGGCTGCCGGGCACCTGGGGGCGGGGCCACTCACGTGCTGGGCACTCAGGGGCAGGGCCGCACACGCAGCTGGGGGCGGGGCTGCACAAGTGCCCGGGGGCAGGGCTGTGCACATGCCCAGGGGCGGGGGCACCCATATGCTGCGTGCCCAATGCCGTTGCCACTCATGCGCCGCTCTCCCGGGGCCAGCGCCGCTCCTGAGCCACATGCCCAGGAGCCGGCATCACCCACGCGCTGCTCGCCTAGGGCCGGCGCTGCTCCTGCGCCATGTGCCCAGGGGCGGGGACGCCCATACACCATGCGCTTGGGGCTGGCACCGCCCATGCATCACGTGCCCGGGGGCGGGGCTGACCCCGATCACTTGACGGGTGCACAGAAATGGCCCGGTGGACGCCATGGCACCTGCGGGCACCGCATTGGGGACCACTGTTCTAGTGAAATAACTTTTCCTAATATCCAACCTAGAACTCTCCCACTGTAACTTGAGACCATTGCTCCTTGTTCTGCCATTGGTCACTACTAAGAACAGCCTCTCTCTATCCTCTTTGGAATCTCCCTTCAGGAAGTTGAAGGCTGCTATCGAATCCCCCCTCACTCTTCCCTTCTGCACATGAAACAAGCCCAAATCCTTCAGCCTCTCTTTGTAGGTCATGTGCTCCAGCCCCCTCGTCATTTTTGTTGCCCTCTGCTGGACCCTCTCCAATGCATCCACATCCTTTCTATAGTGGGGTCCCCAGAAATGGACTCAATACTCCAGATCTGATCGCACCAGTACCGAATAAATGGGAGTAATCAATTCTCTAGATCTGCTGGCAATGCTCCTCCTAATGTACCCTAATATGCCATTAGCTTTCTTGGCTACAAGGGCACACTGGTGACTCATATCCAGCTTCTCATCCACTATAATCCCCAAGTCCTTTGCTGTCCAACTGCTGCTTAGCCACTCTGACCCCAGCCTGTAACAATGCTTGGGATTCTTCCGTCCCAAGTGCAGGACTCTGCGCTTGTCCTTGTTGAACCTCATCAGATTTCTTGTGGCCCAATCCTCTAATTTGTCTAGGTTACTCTGGACCCTATCCCTGCCCTCCAGCATATCTACCTCTCCCCCTAGTTTAGTGTCATCTGTAAACTTGCTTAGGGTGCAATCCATCCCCTCATCCAGATGTTGAACAAAAATGGACCTAGAACTGACCCTTAGGGCACTCCGCTTGATACCTACTGCCAACCAGGCATTGAGCTGTCAATCACTACTGAGTAAGCCCAACAATCTAGCCAGCTTTCTAGCCACCTTACAGTCCATTTATCCAGTCCATACTTCCTTGACTCATTGGCACAAATGCATACATTTATTCCACATGTGGATGGAAAAAATTGGAGGGAACATTGCTGTGGACCCCAACCAACTTCCACAAGGAGGGCTGCTGGATTCATTTCCAGGTTGGAAGCCCAGACTACACCAGATCTTGCCCAGTTTTGGGTTTCCATTGTGAAAGGATGATGCAGCTCTGCTCACCATGGCAACAGAAAGCGAAGGTAGAGTCCACGCTGTTCTTGGCAACATCCTGTGGGTAATGGATTTCATTCACAGTAGTACTGCATCCCCAGCGTGCACTAAAAAATACCAGCCCGGAAAGCTTTCCTACCGTTATAAACATGCAATTAGTCTTTACCGTCAAATTCACTTACCACTTTTATTTTAAACAAATACCTTGGATCCATTTGAAGTGTTAACAGTCAAGTATGGGTTGCAGTCTTTCCTACTCTAGCTCCTGTTCACAAGCCTATGTCAGATGTATGTGAGAATTTGATTTGATTTATTTTATTTATGGCTGAACACAAGCTACATAATTTGTTAGCATTAAATCTCGCTTAATGTTTGGAAGAGAACAGCTTCACTTCAAAGCAGAGCTTCATGATTCCCGCCTCCATCCCCAGTCCTCAAAGTCACTTAAGAGAGATACAGAAGCTCACACAACCTAACTGGTGATTGCAAAAGCTCTTTGGATACTGGAGTCAAGGATGAGGTTTTGTATAGACCAGTGGGAGCCTGCAATCACGCCGCCATTGGACTATTATTTGCAATTGCATGAATGTCCACAAGCGTAAGAGCTCCCAACAGCAAAAATAGCTCAAGCCAGAAATGTGACAGTAAAACCCTTCCTACAGTCAGGATTTTGCAATCACATGGAGTGGAAAATTGTTTCAGTGGCCTCCTTATCATGCAAAAACATTTTCTCCTCCTAAGTGAGTGTGGATTGAAAATTACACTAACTGATTGCAATGGGGTGTGGGTATGAGAAGTGCATACAGCTTGTGTATCGACAGCTGTCTTGTTGTTAACATGAAACCCTCTTCTTGGCTCACCCTAGAATGGGACCTGCAGGCTGCTCAAAGTCATGCTGAAAGGGAGCCATACAGACTAAAGAATCGTTGAAATGGAGAGATGGAAGGGGTCTGGGGAAGCCATGGAACGTGCCACAGAGAGAACTGGCGAACGTCCCTTTGGGATAATAAAGGGAGTTGTTCTATTCCCAGGTCTTTGTTGGTTTTGTGGTTGTAGCTGGTGACTCTTGGCCCGGGGCAAGCAATGAAGCAGCAGGAACCCTATGACAATGCACAGAGGCATGTAGGAATTGCTATAATGGCACAGGTCTGACGTAGGGATATAAGCGAGTAGTCGACTGCTCGCATAAGCTTAGCAGGCAGTCAAGTGGAGTACTCCACTGCTCACTTTCCCCCTCCCCCTTGCTGCTTCTGTGTGAGAGGAAGCAATTGGGGGGGGGGGTGAAAAGAGGAGCAGGTGCCAGCTCTCTCCCCTCCCCCCCCACTTCTATCCGAGGCAGTGGGGGAGGGGGAAAGTAGAGGAGGCTGCTGCGAAGCAGCCTCTACCCATGGTGGTCTGAGGCTCTCCACAGGCAGACACTGCTCTTGCAGCAGACCCTGTCTGTGGGGGTCCCCGCAGTCTTAGCTGGCGCAGGTCCGGGACGGCTGCACCTCTGCATGTTAAATGTAGTAGTAAGAGCCTGGCAGCTTTACTACCTTTAAAATGCAGAGGCGCAGTGGTCCTGGAGCAAGCCTCCCCTTATTGACTAATCGTGTCGTCGATCCAAATTGTATCAACGACATGATTCGCAAAGTACCTATTCCTTAACATCCTCCATCTGCGCTCCATCTACTCCCCTGTCCTCTACTCACCAGTAAAAGTTGGCAAAAGAGGTTCAGCTCAGCAGTAGATTTGGTTGGGGTAAAACCATAATGTATTAAATGAAAATATTCTTGATGTTGTTGGAAAAGTGTTTGAAATTTTGGAAATTTCCAATCACTTCTCTTGCTGATTTAAGCGGGGAGAAATGTAATAAAAATGTTATTAACATTTTCCCAATTTTTTGTGTGTGTTTTTAATTTTTTTGACTAAATCTACCCTTCAGCAGGCAGTTATGGATTACTCTTCCTATGAACTAAGTTTCTTCCTAAACCATATGAGAGTCTGATGTAATAAATCTGTTAGTCTCTACGTAAGAGTGTTTATATCCTTCCCAAAATCCTCCTCCTCTAAAAAAATCCCTATGTTAACTAGATATTCTTGTTATTCATATAGATGGCCAATCCTTTTGTACATCCTGCAAAGCTCTTGACCTCATTAATCTTGTAGCACTGAATTCTAAAGGCTTAACTGTGCAAAATAATTGCGCCGTCAATTTTAAATTCAGTTTAATTGAATGTGCACTTGCGAGTGAGATATAGCACCCAGCCTATCTCTTCTGTATAATGTATTATTTTGTGTATGTTTATTTTGTCCCTTCCTACTCATCTTACCTTAGAGGTGAATATTCCCAGACTTTATAGTCTATCATCGTATAGATGCTTTTTCAGGTTTCTAATTCTTGCCACCTCCCTGTGGACCGCCTCTATTTCTGCTTCCCAAATAGGGTGACTGGCACAGACCACAACATTTCAGGAGAAGATGATATTTTATATAAACCGTAATTCCTGGCGTTTTTCCTCTTGGTCAGTGACTCCAGTATCTTACTCAACAGAAAATTTGCCTCTTTAAAATCTGTTTTTATATATCTACTTACCTAGGTGTGACGGGGCAAGCCCGCACCACGCGGGGGCAGCCCCCCCGGGAGGCGTTGTGGGGCGGGCGGCTAGGCAGCCACCGGCATTGTCCCGGTTGCTTGGCAGCCGCGCAAGCCGCACCCCGCCCCCGCACCGCGCG